CAAACTAGGTGAGCCTCTAGTCCTGAAGCCAGGCCCCGGTGTAGCAAGCAAGAAGAAGCCGCAACCACCGAATCTCCTTAGTGCGCAACCTGTAGGATCCGGACCTCCACAGGAACTTGAACCGAAGCCGGTCAAGCTTGAAAAGAAGCCTAAGGAAGACCCTGATGACCCAGGCTGGTTGCGAGTTCCTTCGGGTGCTAGTGGTTTGAGAGGTAGACCCCTGCCGCCAAAGCCTCCTCAACCCAAGAACCCGAAGGCCAAGAAACAGAAACGTTGGGCATCGTAGTCTAGTTCAGGATCAGACCCCAGCTCTGAATCCGATACTATTGCCCAGCAGTTGAACCTCACCTTGAAAAGCGAAGCTAAGGATGAGGGAGTAGTAATCGCTTCAGAATCACCGAAGAGTGCTGGATTTAGGTCTGTGTGTTCAATGGCAGTGTTAAGCAAGGGGAGGCGTAAGTTGATAACCAAGGGTATCAACGAACTAAGGGACCACGACAAGGCCCTTAAGCGCCTGCTAGATGTGAGCAACGTAGGAACCACTATTGGTCCTAAGCATATCATTGTCTTCACTAGCGAGCCCCAACACTTCCAGGACCCAATGATCCACTGCATCAACGTGGGCCTGAATGCCACGGGCGCCTGGACACCAAGCGGTGCCAGGAAGGAGCTGCAATCCGTAAGCCCTAGCCTTGTCATAGTGGCTGTAAGGTATAAGGACCCGATAGACGGCCTTAATCACTCCGACCTTATAGATGAGGTTGTTAGCCACTCAGAAGCATCTGGCATTCCGTACCTATTGGTGGACAACGCTCAAACCTATAGGTGGCAGGAAGCTAGCATCCCTATTCAACCTGTGTACGGAGTAGGCGACATCTCCTACTATGGCAACGATGGTGGGATTATGGATGTATTCGATGGCTGGACCACGAATAGTTATCCCTACATGGCCCCGTTGAGTTTTGACAACGTGTTTTCCGTAGATTTCGTTGTATGGCTTCGTCAGATAGCAGAACACCAAGTAGCTACTGCACTTGTTTCCCAAGAAGCCTACCCGGCTCTTGAAGGTGACGAAGAATCCTTCGATCAGGTGGAAGAACCTCGCGACTTCGCGTTGATGGACCCCTCTGAGGAGGCCATCGAGGAAGAAACCCGCCTCGACGACGTCGACCTGCGAGGACTACCCATAGAGGAGTCCGAACGCCGCGCGAAGTGGCGAGCAGTACCACAACGGATACGTGTGGCGATCCGGCGGTTACACCGCCAATTCGGCCATTGCCCTAAGAAGGTTTTAGTTAACCTCTTAAGGACCGCTAGGATCGATAAGTCGTACATAGAGGCAGCTCAATTTCATAGGTGTAATGAGTGCGAAGACGCCCAGCCTCGTAGGAATGCACATACCGTATCCATGCCGGAACGGTATTCCTTTAACCACGCCCTAGGTATTGATATCTTTGAATGCTTAGATGCACAAGGCACTAAGTACCAAGTTATGAATATGGTGTGTTTAGGGACGTGCTTTCAGCTTGCGGAGACCGTACGCGTAGGCGACGGGTTGCCTTCCTCAGCCCGCTGCCTTGAGGCCATCCAGCGTCGCTGGACCGCATGGGCCGGTATGCCAGGGATCATACGGTGTGACCGTGGTTTACATAATCGTGGCGTACTAGCGCAATTTTGCGCAGCTCATGGCATTCAAGTACATCACGCGCCACTAGAAACACCCGAGTCAATTGGCCGAGTGGAACGCCACGGTGGAATCCTAAAAGCGATGACTCGCAAGGTAGTATCGCAAACGCAAGCCGTAGGCGAAGTGGCATTACAAACGGTCTTGGATGAGTGTTGCCTCACCAAGAATAGTATGCTGAGACATGGAGGATATTCCCCATCTCAGTGGGTACTCGGGAAAACTCCGCGTGGACCTCCATCTCTAGTAGAGGAGGATAACGCCGCCGACCTTGGATCGTTGAACGACCAGGCTGATCCCGAGAGCCGTTTTGCCCTAATCCATCAAGCTCGGGCGGAAGCCAAGAAGGCTTTTATTCATTTGGACACCTCAAAGCGCGTGCAACGGGCACTTCTTAGGAATGCCAAGCCATTGCCGTACACGTACTCGGTAGGAGACGTGGTTTGCTTTAGGCGAGATAAAACAGGTAAAACTGTTTGGTCTACCGCGTCTAGAGTAATCGGTTTTGAGGGTAGCCAGAACGAGAGCGTGTGGGTTCTGTGTCAGAACGTGCCGGTTCTAGTGTCCGCACAGAATCTCAGACCCGCGCAAGATGCGGAAGCACTTGCACATGCAGTTCTCCAAGGAGAACCCGTGCTACCAGAAGAATTGGTACGCGGACAGCAGCATTTCGAGGATCTTAGAGATGTACCTGGCGGTGAGATCGATGATGAGGAACCCGAAGAAGTACCTTCGGGGAGTGCACCTCAGGAAGAAATCGAAGAACCGTCCTATGGTCTTCTCGACGGCCCAGGACCCCTCTCGTCAATCTTCGAGGATGAGGAGATGACCGAACAGCCAGAGCAACCAGAGAGAGGTAGATCTAGGTCACCTCCACCGACATCTTCTTCAAGATCCCGACGGGTCAGCACAGCTGAACCCGAGGCGGAAAGAACCCCTAATCCTAGTAGAAGGGGAAGCAGATCAGACCTCCTGGACGATCTGCCAGCTCCTATTAGGTCACGTTTTGAAGAACGTAGACACGAGGAGGAAGCTAACGTGAGTATTCGTCAGAAACTCCGTGGCTTCTGGTCTAACCGGTTCTCTTCCAGAGAACAGGTTGAGCAGGAGCTCAAGGACCTCCCTGAGGCCTTGAAATACTGGGAAAGCACCCCAGCAGTCCGCTCGCGGATCGATGGATCACGCGCTAAAGAGTGGAAGAAATATGAGGACTTTCAAGCGGCAATTCCGCTGAAAGGAGAGCAACTTAAGGAACTATTAGACGCTGGTCATAAGCCGATACCATCTAAATGGGTCGACACTATTAAGAACTATCATGAACGTCTTAAACCGGATTATGAACCTGAGTTCAAATCCAGAGTGGTGTCCTGTGGCAATTTTGAAGATTCCACAGAAGTTCGCACAGACGCTCCAACCTCAGACCTTGAAACTCACGCGTTAGTAGCCGCGTTCGCTGCATCCAATGGAGTTCCCGTAGAATCGTCAGATATCCGCAACGCCTATTTCCAGGCAGAACCCATTGACAGGGTTGTACTAATGAGACAACCTAGCGGAGGACTTCCAGGGGTAGACCCGGATGCGATGCTCCTTATTAGAGTACCAGTATATGGACTCTGTGATAGCGGCCGCGGATTTTGGAGGAAAGTCGATCGAGAAGCACGAGACGTCGGCTTCCAGGTGAGTAGAATCTTTCCCGCGTTTTACTTTTACCGCGCTGCCGGAAAAGTAGTTTGCGTCTTAACAACGCATGTCGATGACTTCTTGTGGGCATCGATAGGCAAGGGAGGAACTATCATAGATAAGCTTCTAAAGAAGTTCGAGGTAGGCCGCCGCGAGTCAGGAAGACTACGCTTCTGCGGTAAACAATTCGACGCATCTGGGAAGGATGTGTTAATCGACGTTACCGATAACACTAACAAGATTACCCATATTGACATCAAGGCTGGCAGGAAAAACTCGGATCTTATTGACCGAGGTGAAGAGCGTCAACTACGTTCCGTAGTCGGCAGCCTTTCGTGGATCTCTAGGCAGGCTAGGCCAGATATCCTGTATCGTGTATCGAAGCTCCAGAGCTCGATAAAGGGTGCAACTGTTAGTACTCTCCATGAGGCTAACAAGGTCCTAGAACTTGCCTTAAAGGGTCGCGATCTCAAATTAAGATACAAAAATGGGGCATTTGACTTTGAAAGTCTAGGCGTACTGACAGCTTCAGACGCTAGCTTTGCAGGGGAAAAGGGGGACCGTTCACAACAAGGACGCATCCATTTCCTCGCTCCAGCTGCCCAGCTTCGCGATCCAAATTGTAGTCGTTATGACACAATGATCGTGTCATTTTCATCCACTACAATCAAAAGAGTATGCAGAGCAACTCTTCAGGCTGAGACCTACGCTCTCCAGAGTGCCCAAGAGGCAGGGGACCGAATACGAGCAGCGTTAGCCGAAATCTACGGATTCGGTAGCTCAGGCCCCGAATGGGAAGTTCGTGCGAGAACGCAAGTTCCGCACATAGCGCTGACGGACTGCCGCAGCTTAGCCGATCATCTCAACACGGAGGCTCCGTCCCGTGTGCAGGATAAGCGATTGCAGATCGAGCTTAGCGCTCTTCGACAATCCATCTTCACGGACGACGGCGCACGCACCGTCGATGTCTACCCAGCAGGAGGAGACAGAGTGGACTGGATTGACACAGCCACTCAAGCCGCTGATTGTTTCACAAAGTCTATGAAACCAAACTTCATCATAAAGCTGATTGAATCTGGTGAGTACAGCGTTAGCAGGGCTAAGTTGTAGGTGTAGACCGCAGACGCTGCATTTGTGTGGACATACCTTGTATGTACCATAGCAGCTGAGTCAGTGCTAGAGTAGCATGCAGGCACCACTTCTAGAGGACAACGCCGATTGTACCTCATGTGGTTAATCCAAATTTTCCTCGGTATCATGGCATGAGAACAGGTTGAGTGTGAATGCACCTTCTGTTGTACATGTACAGGTAGCCATGACCATGACATGCATGCTGTATTTGACTGTATTATATCCCGCTGCCGTTAGGGCCCTTGAGTCGTACTGAGATAGCTTCGCAGTCGGCGAAAAGATCTGACCAGTTCTCAAATATATCTATATGTGTATATATCGATATTCCTCCTCTGTTCTTATCTGTGTAATTCTGTGTGTATGCATGTATGCATGTATGTATGTATGTATGCCTGCATGCATGTATGTGTGTGTATGCATGTATGTATGTATGTATGTATGTGTGTGTGTGTGTGTGTATGTTTGCTTGTGCAAACCCCTCAACCCCAGAACCGCCTTCGGGCAGGTGGTCGTCGTGGACATGCACAACAACAATGCCGTCAGCAAGCGTCCCATGAAGGCTGAGGCTCGCCGAATCAGGGTTTCAAGTCCATGGATCAGGATTTTCAGAACATTTTGAGTGCGAAATCCCGCAGTAGCCCGCAGTTCCAGGTTTTTAAGCACTAAACCGGTAAGGTCAAAGCTGTAAGATTGCGTGCAGTCGTAGACTCACGTCTCAGCACCCTAAGCCATGGCCGAGAGCTGCAAGCCCTAGGCTCTGACTCGCAAGACCCCATCGCATCATCGCATCCTCACATCGTCCTTTTTTTTGAAGTCCAGCACTCAGCACAAGGTTACGCGGTTCCTCTTTTGGAGGCAGTGAGAAAGTCTTAGAGGATGGTGTGGCTTCGGGACAGGAGTACGGGGTCTTGCGCACGCTCTTGGGGTTCTCCGGGCTATGCGTTGTGTCATCTCGCAATACTCTCTATGGCAAACCTTCGCTGAAATGCTCGGTGGTGCTGGCGAAGCTGTTGAAGGGATGTAAAATTAGAAGGGAGGTTGCTACGATGGTTTGGGCCCCGTGGCCTGCAAGGGCATGAAAACCAAGCACCATAAGCCGCAAGAGGCAAGACGGCTCCTTGTTTCCAAACGTCGCCAGGCCACGCTGATGAACCCTGCTGACAACATTATCGCCTTGAAGGTCGGCGATACGTTGGGCTCTCCATGACCATCCGTTGGGGGTTCACTGAGCTAACTTGTGGAACTCTCCAGGAATGTCTTTGCTGCTGCTGCTGCTGCCGACAACACTGCTCCAGCAAGCCTTGCGAAACGAAAGCGACAGGTTGCCGGTTGAGCTGCGGGGAATTCAATGAAGGGTTTGGCTGTTAGTTGCTCCGAGGCTGGAATCTGGACCTGACTGCTTGGGTGGTTGTTGTTCAGGGGCGGGGTGGGTCAACATGACGGGGACCCCAGACCTGGTCTACCAGCAGGCAGGCGAGGGCCAGAACAAAACAACGGCTCCTGAACAATCTCTGCAAAAAAAGACTGCGCTTTCCGAGGTTGTAGAGCCGGTTCAAACGAGCTGTTTGGAGTCTTCGAACCTGTTCTAAGTTGTATTAGCAGGCGTGTTAAGGAGTTTTGAGCTTTGTGAAGGGCTTCAGGCTGCTTGCGAGCCGGAGGGTAGGGGTCGTAGTGGTTGTCGTAGTAGTAGTAGTAGTAGTAGAAGTAGTAGTAGCAGTAGTAGTAGTAGTAGTAGTAGTAGTAGTAGTCGTAGTCGTAGTCGTAGTCGTCGTCGTAGTCGTAGTAGTAGTCGTAGTAGTAGTCGTAGTGGTAGTCGTAGTAGTCGTAATAGTGGTCGTTGTAGTCGTCGTAGAAGTAGTCGTAGTAGTAGTAGTAGTAGTAGAAGTAGAAGTAGTAGTAGCAGTAGTAGTAGTAGTAGTAGTCGTAGTCGTAGTCGTAGTCGTCGTCGTAGTCGTAGTAGTAGTCGTAGTAGTAGTCGTAGTGGTAGTCGTAGTAGTCGTAATAGTGGTCGTTGTAGTCGTCGTAGAAGTAGTCGTAGTAGTAGTAGTAGTAGTAGTAGTAGTAGTAGTAGTAGTAGTAGTAGTAGTAGTAGTAGCAGGAGTAGAAGTAGTCGTAGTAGTCGTAGTCGTAGTAGTAGTAGCAGGAGTAGAAGTAGTCGTAGTAGTCGTAGTCGTAGTAGTAGTAGCAGCAGTAGTAGTAGTAGTAGTAGCAGGAGGAGCTTTCAGCTTTCCTCGCAGCGAAGAGTCTCCGCCTAGCGACGAGTTTCGTGGTATAGTGGCCTGTTTGTGCTGTAAGACCATGATGAAAAATGTACGCCTGAAGCTGATACTTCTGATGAACAATCTCGAGCCTGTCGGCTTGAGTGAATACGGGCTCGATCCAAGTGAACCTTTGTGCGTATCTTCTGTATGTGTCCATGCTGGTTCCGAAATCGCAAGAGCTGCAGAGTAATCGCTGAGGGCGGGTCAGCTAAACCAATCGTACGATCTTGATCATTTCGCCAGTGGTCCAGCAATGTTTGAAGATGTATCTTGGGTGTCAGACCCGGCGGGCGAGGTGGCATACTCAAAAGAATGGACTGAGTGCCTTGCCCCCGATCAATGTAGCCTGCCGCTCCCCCGGCATCTGCTAGGCAACGAGCTTGCCATACCCCTTGGAACAGCGCAGGTTGCATCTTAGAGAAGAGGTAGCCCAGAAATTCTCCTACATCATGTTGACGACGCGCCTCCGCCCAACCACTAACGAGATTTCGCCAGCTTTGGACCTGCGATAAATCAAGTACACTTGGCCGTCGTTCAAGCTCCTGAAAGAAGATGGCGCCTGCTCCCATGGCTTGTGGCCCTGCCGCCAATGAACTCCGCACCCATCGTAGAGCCTGCACAACTGCATTCATGTAGCACATGTTGCCTCCGTTTACAAAGCGGTGCCTTAGTACCGGGTCATCTCGTGGATCTTCTGGGCGAGAGGTGCCCTTCCCAGCTTCTCCCGACGATATCCCAGCCCTATCAACTGGAAAACATAACAGCCCTGGAGCTCCACCAGCTGATCCCAAACTTCCTCCGCATGCTTGTTCCTGATGGACAAGTCCAGCTTGAACGTTTTCTTGCTCTCCATTGTTTCCGTCATACGCTGCGTGCAGTGGAAACGGTGCAAAACGTCCTTCTGGATGTGTGTCACAAAGAGCTCCAGTTTGTTTGCCATTTCGATGTCCGGGATTGGCGTACGGATTTTGTCAAGTTCCGGGGCCTCTAGCTTTGGATTCCGGATCTGGAGCTTCCATCCCGATGCATCCTTCCAGCTCATATCCGAAGCTCTCTGAAGAAGCTCCTTGCTGCTCAGCATCCGTTGATGGCCTGCTTCATGGGCAACCGAAAGGTTGCATCTAGGGGTGTGGAGAAGGGCCCCCGGCCAGGTGGTTCCTTTTTGTGCGTATTCGGGGCTATCCCCCACCTGGTGCTGGTTTTCGGCCTGCCCCCGCCGGGTCCGTTTTGGGGTGTTCGAATGTGGTGCTTCGGACCGCTCCGAGTGGAAAAACGGCTGCCCGATGATGCTCATGATGCGCGTTTGTTGGCCCCAAGAAGCTCCCAATGATGCTCGTGATGCGGGCTTGTTGGCTCGGATTGGGCTCCAAGAGGCCTCCAATGATGTTCGCGATGTGCGCTTGCTAGCTCCGAGAGGGACCCACGATATTCCCAACGATGCTTGTGATGTCGTGTGCTTGTTCTATCTGGGGCGCCCGACCTGAAGCCATTGGCTTCTAGGCATGATATACACATGTATTTATGGTATGTTTGTGTATATGTACATATATATATATATATATATACGTATGCTAACCCCCCCCGAAGAACTGCCGCGGAGGTGCCGCGACCATGCCAGTAATCCTCGTAGGTGTAGGCTTCTATTGTATGATCCAGGCTTAGTGTTAGATTTTGAAGTTCGGAGGGGACAGCATATGTATATCGGCAGCCGCCTTCATTCTCAATTGTTGTGACCCTTCTCACAGATACTCTGACATATGATTTCCCAACGATGAAAGTCCTGTCTGTCGGAATACCCGAAGCCCAATATGGGCACGAGCATTAGCTCCCAACGTAGCCTTCACTACAGTTTCAGATCCAAGCCCCAGCAATACGTATGAATGACCGTGAGCATTGACTGACTCCTATTCCTAAACAACAATATCCGAAGACTAGCCCTGCCATTGGACCTTAAATGGGCGCCAATGGTGACAGTAGTCTTCCACTTCATGTTCACCCACAAATGGTGCACGTCTTAGTTCGTATGGATTAACATGTTATGTCGACTTGTAGCCCCATTATGTATACATCCCCATATCAACTCTCATGCCGAGCTGTAGGTTAATACAAAGTTAATACAATCACATACATCAGCTAGGCTGGTCCCCTGATAGTAATGATATTGCCGTCCCCCCAAGATGGACCTTACTCGCAAATTTAATGTTGCCCATAACCTGTTACTTGTGACGGATACTGCCCAACTGCAACCCCCAAAATGGCCATTGGCCTCATCAACAAGTTAGTGCATCCAGGTGTAGTTGTGGGTTCCAATTCAAGTCTCCGAAGCTGGAAGCCATGGCATCCCCATCTCTAGGTACTGTTAATATTAATACATGTAAGCTAAATACTGCCCAAACATTTGCTTCAACTGTTGCCGTCATATTCATGCTAATATTAAATTACACGAAACGGATTCCATTAAGAGCCGCAATCCTTGCTGTCTTCGCTCTGGTGTTCCCGAAAGGATGGCCCTTCGATTTTTAGGGGTTATACCAGCATTTGTTGGTGTACCTCAACATATTCTCACTGTCAGACTTGCTGTCGGACTTGCCCGTTTGCGGTATGTACATTTATCTATATACACATAAATGTAAAGAATCAGGTTAAACCTGTATTAGGTGCCAACATAGTGACGAAGATCATTAGCTGGCTCCTGCTTCCAAACAACATCAACCCTAATCATATCCTTGTCATTCGCCGTTATGTCAATGGTGACCGTAATATTCGCCCTGACAGCAGCCCTAAGGCCATCCATACTAGGCGTAGGACCACACAGAATCTGACCCCGACATTTATTATTCAATTTACAACTTCAGTCAGCTAGAAGACATCAAGCGGTAGCTGTGATAACCAGCTCCCTATCGACCCACCATGGACGCTTGCTTGAATCATGTTAACATGTGGCCGCACGCCAGGCTGCAACGGAAGGCCAGGCAGGACATTTTGTGCAGATCTTCAACCTCGACTCCAAGGAGAAGTTACCTGTCTGAGAAGAAACATCGGCCCGGTTTAGGTTTGAAGCTTTGCGATGCGAGACGCCTCGCCCGGGGTCGTCTGTAATCAGAAGTCCGGCCGCCCAGGCTCGGAGTCTACCAGTGCCCCGAGCAGATTGTCACTTGGCCGAGTGCTGCAAGTCTTCAGTTTCTGTGCTTTGGGGGCCAAACCGGTTTGGATTTCAACCTGAAAGACAGAAGACTTGAAGACTAGTGACTAAGCCGATTTTTCAAGTTTGCTTCCCAGGTGTTTTGGCGTTGGCTGGCACCCAGGCTCCTGGCCCTCATCTGCGCCCAGGCGCAGGGGGGAGGGGACAACGACGGTGGTCTCAGTAGGCGGTCCCGGTCTTGGAGATGCGGTTTGAAGGCAGAAGCTTGCAGCATAGTGCTCTATGGGTTCCTACGAGTGTTTGGGCTTCTTCTGTCTTCTGTCGCGCCTGCTCTTTTGCCTTTGCTTTTTCGGCATGAGCTTTTGGAAGGTAGGCTTTCGAGGCTCTTGTTGGTCAAAGCAATTTCGCAGCTGCAGCAGTGTCTGTCATGTCCTCGAACATTCCACGAAGCCCTGATGAACCAGCATCCCCTGTTTAAGTCCGAAAGGCGAATTCAGGATTCAAGCATCAGTCTGCGTGCTACATGCACTCCCAGGGTCGCATGCCCTAAACGGTCAAGTGCAAGTGGCTTGTGCAATCGGGGCTTTTGAGCAATTGTTGCAGCCTGCGGTGTCGGCTTTGAGAGATTCAGACATGCTGGGCTTGCGTCTCGGGTTTTCGCTTTCGCACTTCAAGGTGGGGTTGCAATTGGTTGCCAAATGGGCTCCTTCGGCTTCTGACGTTTTGCTTTCAACATCGGGCCCGCTAGAAGGTCTGGTTTCAGTCACGTGGGGGATCAGGACGTCTATCACTGGAACCTCTCCGTGGCAAACAGCCAGCCGGAGAAGATCTTCCAGCGGGCTGGGAAGCTGGCTGAAGCAGGTCAGCCATCGCACCATTTGGAGGGGCTTTAGGCTTCAGCTCCGCTCCTTGCGTGCTCGCTTGGTTCATGAAGGGATCTTCATGTTAGCCATCGAGGCATTTGGGGGCCTTCGGGCTTCCGCTCTAGGCGGATTTGAGCTTATGGCACATGTCTCGTACTACAGCCTGATGATGCGGCTGGTTATGGAAGCAGCTAAGCTATGTGCATAGTGCAAGAAGGGGCCAGGCTGGCCAGGTCGAAGCTATCTGGATGAGAGTTTGGGGTCGCAGCACAGTTGGGTCCGTCAAGTCGGAAAAGCCCTTGAAAGTGTTGGTTGTAGTTTGAGGCTGAAGGGCTTCAGGCTGCTCCAAGGTCGGGATTCAAGGTGCTGGGTTTTTGGGCTGAGATGCTTCAGGCGAGCAGATTCGGAAGTGGGCTTGGGCTTTAGTTAGTACTGCGGCTGCGAGGCGACCGATCCGAATTGAATGTGCTCCCATCGAAACCAAAACGCATCCGTCGTGGCACTGCTCGCAACATCGTAAGCCGTGAGCTTTGAGTTCTATTCCGTACTCTGGACCGTCTGAACCCCGACTTGAAGGCCCTTGGAAGTCGAAGCCAGCCCTTGCACCAGTTTCCAGTTTGTCTACTGAAGTGACTGCGAAGAGCCCCCACGCCCCAGCACCGATACCAACGCTTCAACATGGGTGAGACGATTCAACTAAGTTGCAGCAGCAGACGATACAACCAATATGAATTGTTTTAATGTCATGTACCGGAAGAAGATAAGCTCTTTCCCTACCAGACTTAGGAGCTGAATCACGGCCCCAGGCTAAGATTTCTAGCGTTGGGCGATTCCTCCGTGCCAGGAACGCAGATCATCAACTATTCTGCGAACAGCCAGGTGATCCGAGCTGTGGGGGTGGCTTTCACTTGGATGGTAGCGACCGAAACAACACCACTTCCAGTTGACCCTTTTAGCGCTTCAAAGTGGCGACAGCAAGTTTGGAGACTTGTCCCAGGTGTCGTGGTGCTTGCTGACAGGCATCTCCTCGCAGGCGCAAGGGAGATATGAATGGTGTCAGCAGCAGCAAGCTAGATAAGCTTGCCATAGCAAGAAAGTTTGCTACAGCTGCAGGAATCTGCAGGAACACCAGCATGACAGAACTAGTAGACAGTCGACGTTGTCATAGCACCGTGTCAGGGACCCAGGTCGGCCCTGGTGAGCATGATCGATTGTCTTGGAGAGTAGCAGTGACGACGAGTCCATCGCAATCCTAGGCAACACAGTGGCAACAGTCTCAATGCAGCAAGCACATGCGACCCCTGCTGTTAGAGGTTACGAGGGTGCGGCTAGTACCCACAGCGACATTCCTTTAGTTGTTGTGTCGTAGTCGAGCGAATCGCATTAGTACGAATGGGAGTACTGGCATGAAAAGACCAATCGTACATCTAATGACAGCGCGACTACATTCCTCATTGAATGAATTGGAAAGAGCGGCAATAATCGCTACAATTAAGACAATGGAAAGATCGGAAATGTGCCGAACCGTGATTAGCTATGGCGGTGGCGATACTTGTGATACTAGTAGGATGTACAGATCCTAAACTCATTGAAATCAAAACGCCAGAACTTCCACCTGAATCCGCGCATTCTCTTAGGCCTGCCACTCAAGCCTCGCCTCAGGATTCTGGGAGGACGATCGACGGCAACATGCAGCTGTACAGCCAGGGCCCGATGGGGGCGAGAGAAAGAAAGATACAATTGTATACATATATATATATATACGTATATATTTATAGAAAGATAGATAAGCAGATAGATATATGCGTATATATCTAAATAAACAAATGTAAATAAATAGAATATATATATATATATATATATATGGGGAGAGAGAGAGAGAGAGAGAGAGAGAGAGAGAGAGAGAGAGAGAGAGAGAGAGAGAGAGAGAGAGAGAGAGAGAGAGAGAGAGAGAGAGAGAGAGAGAGAGAGGGGGAGGGAGTGAGAGAGCGAGCGAGGGGGCCTAGTGTGCGGATTCGGCCGTTGGCTTTCTACAGACATGTAGCTTGTTCGGTTTTGAGATTCTACTCTACAAGTGTCTACTGTCGAACAGGATTTACAATTGTTGAAGGTTCTCTGTAAGTTTGACTGCCTTCTCTCAGTAGGCACTACGAATGCTTTCTTCAAGTTCGTGAGAGAGAGCAACAGCTCCGAATGTGTGTGTGTGTGTGTATATATATGTTCGTGTACTCATATATGGTTGTGCGCTTTGTGTTTCCCACAAACTCTCGTAGTGTGAAGAGATCAATCCAAGGCAGCTGGAACATGTTTCGCCCCTAAACGCTGGGGCTCGTCAGCCTGAGCTCAAACACCAACAGTACAGCCACCCTCAACTGTTAAAGCGGTGCCGGGCATGAGACTGACATACAACACCAACGTACAAAGAACAAAAAATTTTGCTCACCCTAACCCACCCTGCCACGTGAATTTGTACAGTAGGCGGAAAAGATTCTTACCTACGGACCAGCGCGGGCAAAACCTGACACGCTTGCCCAAAATGCCGCTCGCTTTCGCAGAGGCAGGTTTCAGCATAGACGACCACCTCACTTACTTGATGGTCACGCCGAATGTTTCGGTCTTCTCGATTCGGCGCTTCACTTTGCTCATCCTTGTCAGAATCAGATTTCGTCGAGATCCATGTGGAAACTTCCGGAAAATGTCTCTTGCTTTTGCGAGATCATAACCTCTACATCGCGCTCTCGCGAGAAAGAAGCCCACTTCATGGAAGTAGTTACTCTCAAACGTGTTTGTCAAGAGCAACCGTTGCATCTCACTGTTGAGGATACTGACCTGCGTAGCTGGACGATGTGATGAAGAAGCCGGCAAATAGTTGTAGATGTTCTGAGGTTTGCGGTACGTCGTGCAATAGACTTTATGGCCCAGTGTTCTGAGTCTTACGTCCAGAAGATGCACATCTAAGCCACAAGTCAGATCTCTATCTTGGACCACGACCATGGGATGCCAAGAGTTCAAGTGCTGCAGCAGAATAGGCCGAATGTGGTTTTTCACAATACCACCACCATCGTCAATGTAACGGAAAAAATTGCGAACAGGGAGATGCGAAGTCAAATGGATGTCAAACCCTTTTGCAAGAAAGATGTTGGCGATCGTGCTTGCACAAGACAGCCCGGTTGTGAGTCCAACTTGCTGTTGGAAATAACAGATGTCACTCTCCAAGCAAATAGAGATCACTGATTGCATCAACAAAAGGTTGAGCAACTTGATGAGAAAGTCTGCGTACAGGAACTTCCCAGGGGCAGCGTAAAAGTTCAAAATGGCCCTAGTCTCCACTGTTTGCACACACAAGGCGTCATCCTTGCAAATGATGGATATAATGCCTTGATGTCAAAGGTGAAGAACTCCTCGTCATCAGCTAGAACGTCGTGCGTAAATACTTTTACGATGTCCAGAGCAGAGTCAATGACATGCACGCAAGCTCGCTGTATAGGCAATAAACCTTGATTCAGAAACTGGGCTGGTCCTGACAGGACATGACCTCGCGTGTTTGAAAGCGGCCGAGATGCTGGAGGAACTTTGTGGATTTTAACTGATACACGAAAATTGGGCATCTTGGTAGAACCACATTGTGAAAGCAAGAAACGCTGTTCAGCTTCAGATACGACGCCGTTGATGCCAGCAGCTTCGCGTACTAGAACCTTCAGATCACGAGTGTCACTGTCAAGAAAGTCCAGAGCAGTTTCTGTACTAATACGAGCAAATCCGCGTAAATGTCCATGGACTTGTGCCACCAACCATTTCGGGGAAACAATGACAACTCCAGGTTTCTTGTCAGCTTCAATGGCACGAAGTGTACCAACATTATCAGCCAACCACGAGAATGCTTTGCGATCCTGGCTTGAGAAGTTTGATGAGTTCAATGCCGACCCGCGAAGAGCGCACAAGGAACTTTGAAGTCCGAATCGGAGTTGAAGTTCAAAGTCATCCAAATCCGTCTTGCCATTGTTGGGAAGAGAAGGCCATTTACCGCTGGAAAGTTTGCACAGACGACGACCACATCTGCGATCACGGCTTGCAAAAATGAGCTTCCACGCCAGTCTGCGTGCACAATCTGGCACCGGCGCAAACCAAGTGTCCAAGGGTTCCATCAAAGTTTGTGGAACGAACTTGAGCGATTTGGTCAGGAGATTCTGAACCAAGTTGGGAATGTCACTCGTTTGACAATCCACCGTATGTAACTTGTTTGGTGAAGAACGACCAAGTAGCGCTGTAAGCTGAATCTTGTGCAGCTGAACACATATAATCGCATGTTGGTCAATTATCGTGCAACGATCATCCGCCTAAAAACTTCGATGCCTCCCTTGACGTGGACGGCGCGATGGCAGGGGGGCATGGAACTGCTAGTCAAGAATGCCTGCCGTGACCTTTGCCGCGACCTCCACGTTTACCTTTACCTTTGGATTTTCCGGGGGCGGGCTTCCTTGACTGAGAGCTCTTAGACGCCGATCGTCGTGATGTTTTCCGCGAGCTGGAACGGACTGCGCTGTAAACGGACACATGACTGGAGTTAGAGGCCTTGGAACGTGACGATCTCTTGGAAGCACTGGAAGCCTTTCTAGATGCAGCTGGGGTTCGGGGAAGCTTCTGATCTGAGCCGCTTGGCTTGTCTCTGCCATGACTTCGTCCCCTGGAAGGTTTGGCTTGTACAAGTGCTGCATCATCAGAAACTATACCTCCACGTATTTTGAGTGCATCCAAGAACGTGTCAACACTCTCTGGCTCTTTGTTGCACAAGTATTGCATGAGAGTCCGAAGTTTACCATGAGGACCTTGACGGACTGATTTAGCCGGTATCAAGTTGGTCAAAGAACGCATTCGACTCATCGATCGCCTTGGTCCGCTTCTCTTGAGCTTCTTTCGCTTCACGTTCACGCCTAGCCACCCTCGTGCACTCTTGACGGGTCACAAGACGGACGTAATCCAGGATGATCTTGGAAAACTTCAACCGTTCAACTTGGCTGTAAATACATACTTCATCACTTCGCCAAAAGACAGCAAGAGCGTTTTGAGTATCACTCAGTACCTCATCCATGTGGACCTTGCTCTCAAAGTACTCCTTGACTCTAACCCTTGATGAAATCCATGCATTGTCTCGCATGCTGCTCTCGTAGCTTAGCCCAAGCGCAGTTCAAGCTATATTCATCGGACATCTCATGTAGGGAAAGTTCATGTTCAATTGCCACAGGTTGTGCAACAGCACGATAATTTTTTGTCAACTGCCATTCGAACTTGGACTCATTGGCGAAGTGGGCATGCATTTTCTGCGCGTACTTTTTGTTCAAACCTCGTTGCTTGATGAGATTCTCAATCAGGTCTTCCAGTCTGCGCTTTTGCTGTATGGCAAACTTGGCAAGAATTTGGTCAAGCTGTTTCAACAACTCATTCGGACAACCAACCACAACTGAATCATCAGAACTCGTAGCGCGCTTTTTGCCATCAAGCTCTGCGATTGATCGAAGGAGTGCTTCATGGTGTACTGTTTCGCGATCAACAGTTTGACGGTTCATAGCAACAAGGTTGGAATTGAGATGACCAAGGTGTTCAGCTAGTGGTAGTACCATCTGTGAAGCCAACACGTGCATAGCTGAACTGAAACCAGGACTTTGGGATCGATCATTAGCCGCTATGATGAGAACTGGACCAGTGCCGTGCGCCAAATAGGAGACTCCTCCGAGGAAATGGTTTGCCCACAAACGTTCGTAGTGTGAAGAGATCAATCCAAGGCAGCAACCAAGCACTCTTCTCTTATGAAATCGAAAGATTCGCTATGCGCTGGAACATGTTTCGCCCCTAAACGCTGGGGCTCGTCAGCCTGAGCTCAAACACCAACAGTACAGCCACGCTCAACTGTTAAAGCGGTGCCGGGCATGAGACGGACATACAACACCAACGTACAAAGAGCACAATTTTGCGCCCTCCGTCCCGCCCCTCCCCCCCCAAAATGCAGGTGTTTGCGCTAGTGGGGCCAGGGGGAGGGGGACTAAACTCCGAAGCTCGAGGCCAGAGCCGTTCCACCGCGGGGGGGGGGGGGAGTGATGATGCACAACCACTGGAAGAAGCTGCTGTTCCACAGTCAAGCTCAAGACCCAAGCTGTTGCACAGCGGGGATACCATGGCAGGGGGTGGGGGGGGGGGCCGCCGGGGCGCAATATATGTATAAAAAGATATAGGTATAAAAAATCTACACGTGTCTGTACATGATCATATGTACTATATATATATATATATATGTATACATACATACACACACGCGTATATGTATGGATGTGCATGCATGCGCATGTGTGTCCCAGTATGCATCTGTCTTTTGTACGGTGAAGAGCCCAGATGCAAAGACCGACAGATGGACATCAAGACAGTGAGCTGCAAGGGAAAGCACAAACAACATATCAGCCTCCGACCAGCAAGTTCAGAAGCGAACAGCGTCGGCCATTATTCGTCTACTCTTTTGTAGGGGTTGGTGGATAAGGACTTAGGCATTTTCGATTGTGTTGCGATCCAGGACTATGATTTCCACATGTTGTCAGATATCGTGTCTGTGGCGCAGCATTCTAGCACCGTAGCCCGCAAACTCCAAGATCCATAAGTTCCCACGTAACATCCAACTGACATCCAGCATCGATGCTAACCGGCCACTTGCTCGAGGTGTGGAAAGGAAGCAGCAGCAGTTGCTGGAGGGCCATGCAGGCCAACTGATTACCGCTAATTTAAGGAGGGTCTCTTAGCACAGCTCCAAACCGAGCATTCTAAGGATCTTGTCAGGGTTCCAGGAAAAGCACATACTTCAGGCGAGAAGCTGTGGTCCTGCCGAAGCCCATGAAGCTTCGCCAATCCTGGCTTTATAAGGGCGGGGGTGCTTTACAGGCTGCTTCGGCAACGTCTACGTGGACGACGGCGGTGTGCGCTGCGGAGTCTTCGCCTTCCAGGAGCGGAAGGCTGGCGAACTGTGGCATGCGAAGGGTTTCATTAGGTGCTCCTCAGACTTTGCAGGTCTTGGGACTTCAAGGCTGTTTGAGCAAGGCGTCTTTTTGGTGTTTTCAGCGTTGTGTTTTGTGATCACTGATTGCCCCTGCCCTTGAACCCGTTGGGCTGGCCGGCGCCAGCAGCTGCAACCACAATCGTATTTTCCTCCTCCTCCTCCTCCTCCTCCCTATCATCAGCAGAAACATCATCATCATCATCATCATCAACACCATCAGCATCACCATCATCATATCAGCATCATCATCATTACCATCATCACAGTCATCATGATCCTCAGGATCGTGACCGTCATCATCATCATCATCATCATCATTATCGTCAGCATCACCATCATCACAATCGCCAGCATCAACATCATCATCAGCTTCACCATCATCATCCTTGGTCGTGGCCATCGTCGTCTTCGTCGTTGGCGTCATCAGCATCAGCATCTTCATCTTGATGTTCAAGAGGTGATAGGGACATTAGGTCCTGGAACATCTGAGGCCCTGATGTCACAGGCCACTGACTCACCTTCAAAGGCCCCAGTCCGAATTTGTCAAAGGGTCCAGGGATTCATCCCCAGCACCCGTTTGCTTTCAGGCCGGTACTCCACAGACGAAGCTGCACATCATGGACATCCTGAAGAACCGAGGCGAGAGCGCCCCCCCGTTCAAGGCCGGGAGCCCGCGCACTCCCCACAGCCACAGAGACTCTTCCCGCCCCGGATTCGAAGCTCTCGTCGGGGTTGGGCCACAGAGTCATGGAGGCTAGAGGGTTTTGGAGTCTGGCTTCGGACTGGAGGTTCTTCAGGGACGATGCTGCTGTTTTTGGTTCGTTTCTTGATTGCAAATCGGATGCCGCCTGTTGTAGATTCTGCTAAAAGCCACCCGACTCCACCAAAGCCGACGCCCAAACGGCGCCCTAAACCCTTAGACCCGATACGGTACACCAGGTGCAGATGGAGATTGCCATGCCGCCAGAGGCTGATGTTGCAGCAGTTTGGTTGTTGGGATTTACAAGTAGGCACGCTCCGACTTTCGGATATGTAAGGGCCTTGAATCTTGTTTGGGTTTCCGGATTTCCTGAGTCAATGTTTTTCAAGCCAGCGTCTTCGGGCGTCGCGATTCTCGAAGCCCTGAAGCCCCGTCTCTACACCTCGGCTTCAACATAGCACGGACCTTGTTGTGTTAGTTTGTACTTCCTCAGCAGTTCGGTTGTGCAGTTGACATGTCGGCCTGACGCCGAAGGGCCCTTGAGCTGCCTGAAACCGAAGGGTAGAGTCCGATCCGCTTTCTTACAACACATGGCAGTGGAGCCCTGGTGACGGCCAGCGTCTCTTTCCAGTGTTGCCTGGGGTCGGTTGGACGCAACCGCTCGCTCGGGCTCCGGGACATCTTCGACTGCGTGCGTGTTTCTCTTGAACCGGGCACATCAGCAAACGGCGACAGGAGGCTATTCGGTTTTAAGGGAAGTTTTCGTCTGTTTCCGGACACCGCGCTTCACCAGCGCATGGCTGAACTTCGGGGAGAAAGACATTCCGTGATTATCGGTTTGAAGCAGCTCCTTCGTGGGATGGTGAGAAACCAGAGACGGAGTTCAGGGAGTACGCAGCAGCGCTGAAGCTGTGGCTGATCGAGGCAGAGACAAGGCTACTGGTGACCTTGGTCGGGAAAAGGATCATGGATGTGATCCTATTCGGATCAAAGCTCGCCGCCTTGTTGGCCTCGCCGTCGTTCGACGACATTACTTCTGAGACCAGCTACCAGACCATCTTGCAGATCATAGCGGAGAGTCGCTACTTCTCAAAGGACATGAAGCTCGAACAATCGCTCGAGCAAGCAATCTTCAAGGGGAAGCGGCGCACCGGTCAGTCGAGACTTTTCAAGCTTCGAAGAAGGTAGCATTCAGTGAACTTTAACGCCAAGGTTTAGTTTTTGTGGACACCAAGGCTTGCAGGCACCCCCTTGGCCACTTGATCCTCAAGCAAGGCCAGTGAGCATCGACTACCAGAAAGTAGAGAGTGCGATTCGGAAATTGTTCAGTGCCGGGAAAAGGAACCTGCTGGACCAAGCAGCCAGATGATGCGGAGGACGGCGACCCGGACCAGGACGACTCAAACTACCGGACTACTTGGCTGAGGCTGGAGACGGCGACACTGACATTTGCGATTGGTTGGAGCTGGGTGAGCAAGGCCAGGCCTACATGGTGCTTGAGGACACCCTTCCCCAGATGATGGATGAAGCCGATGCTGTGGAGCTTGTCGGCTCCTACATGTCCTTCGTCTTCTACGAGGCCTCTGACCGCGTGAAGGGCAGAGGCAAAGGAATGGGCAAAGGACATGGAAAGGGAAAAGGCTGCCATGCTGGGAAAGGCAGACAAGGGCACCAAGCGGGCAACGGCCATGGTGTTTTCGGGGTCTATGGCTCGTACTTGGACCACGGCAAAGGTTTGAGGGATGCCAAATCAGGTCGTGGCTTCACGTCGGCAGAGTCAACCTGGGACGCCTAGCCAATATGGTGTCGTTGGCCGAGCTCAAGAGCAAGACATGCTGTCGTAATTGCACGCAGCTGGGACATGAAGAGCAAGCGCCGGATCAACGAAGCCGAGTGCAACCCTGTGTTATTTGTGAGTCCGGGCCCGAACAACGGCCTGGGCACAGACGATGCATTGGTTCCGAGGATTCCGATGTGTGGACGATACATGGCTGCTGGGGCTCCAGGCTTGTTGCATCAGGGGCGGATGTAACCTACATGACCTACACGTTTGCTTTTGCCGACCAATGCGCTGGACCGCCAGCTGCATGATGAGCAGAGTGGCCGCCGCAGGGTGATGGAATGCAGTTGCGTAGCTGGTCCAGGATCCATGGACACGTGAAGAGGTTCCGAACATCTATGTCCACCGGACCATTCTGGAGCGATGCTGTCCCGGGGATCGCTGTGGATCATGAGACCGGCAAGTTGGTCTGTGTCGAAGATGTGTCCGGCTACGATCCTGATGTACAAACAAGTGGCTGGACATCCTGATCTGCGTGTTCCCTTATCAAGGACCTGAGGCTACCGTGCCAGCTGAGGATAATGAGGATGGCCGGGTGATCCGAAGGATCAAGCGGTCGCTTGATGCGGCCGTGGACGGCGGCGTCAATCCGGGCAAATGGGGTTACAAATCATGATTTCCTGTGGTTGCAAACTCCCGCGACCTCGATCTCAAGACCGACACCTTCTACGTGTACTCTGAGCTCCACTCGGGGTGGGTTTGCTTGACGAAGAAGGGTGGCCGGGAAATTCCAGAACGACTGTTAACCCCACAGAAGAAAGAGTTGTTCAAGGAGGATAAGGTCCTGGAGATCTAGATTGAAATGCCGCGGGCCGCAATGAGACTCGACTTCTACGTGATCTCCCTCACAGGGTGATGCCGGCCCGTTTCATCATCACCAAGAAGATGCAAAAGGTTGGCCAATCGTGGAAGGCTAAGGCTGCTGCTTGGGCATCAGGGTCCAGCAGCTGCGAGTGGAGAGGTGTGCACCGACACCGGCGACGACTACTGTGTGCATGATGTTTCACGTAGCCAGCATGGGCTAAGTCTCATCATAATGGACGTCGCGTCGGCTTTCGGGCTGTCGGTGCCACCAACCGGCGTCCCAGAGAAGGGTCCGAGTTCCCTCATCCGTGTGCGCCCTGCGGTGTATGGAACTGTCATCGCACCGGCCTCATGGCGGCGAACGGCGAGGAAGCTCCTTGGCTTTCGTGTCGGAAGAGTTCCAGCAGCCAACGCAGCATACATGCGCCCGGGTTGTCTTGCTGGACGTTGACGACTTCGTGCAGGGAGGCATCCGACGCCACGAAGAGAAGGTAGAGCAACTTTGTGTTCGTTTCAGTTTTGGCAAGTGGCGGGACATCTACGAATCCCATGGGGAATCCCTCGGGCGCACGGTCTCCCAGAAGGTTGATCCAGGAATTGTAGAAGACGGCCGATGTCGAATCCTGCAAATCAGGCTGCAGGATAGCTTCTTTCTGGCAAATCTCCGATGCTTCCTTGGGCAACGACGACAGGGCCGCTTCGTCATCGCTTTTGCTGACAAGTTGATGATATTTGGGGCACCAGCTGATTTCAGCCTGGACTGCTGGCATTCTCACGCCTGCGCCGTGTTGCAAGGACGATGCTTTGGCAGAGCTGTAGTCGGTGAGAGCCTTGTCCAGCGAGGTATGCATCGGACCAGGCTGTCAAGCGATGAAAGCATCACCATTGTTCGCCAGAGCGACGAAAAGGAGAGAGCATTGCCATCACGGACGCCCGTGCCCTCTACGACTTGTTCCACCGCAAAAGCGGTTCTGCTGGTTCTGCTGGACTTGATCGTCGTGCTCAGATTGATGTTGCCGTGATTTGCCAAAGTGCCAAAACCCTCAACGCGAAAGTATACTGGATCCCGGGCATTACATGCTCGCAGACGCTCTTGCGAAGAGGCTGGGCCGCAGCCGCTCGTTGCCTTCAGTGATGCTTCTTGGCAAGTATGCCATCAAAGAAGAGTCTTTGAAACAGCTCATCCGTGAACTGAAACCCTTGATGGATGTAAAACATGTTGCGCTGTAGCCCGACAGTTCAACGTCATTGGTTTGCACTCCTCCCAGCTGTCCAGTTGTGCAGTTCTGCGTGACACGTCTGTCTGACGCCGAAGGGCCCTTGAGCTGCGCGAAACTGAAGTGTAAAGCCCAATCCACTGCCGTGCATTGCATCACGCTTGGGTTCGGTATCCGGCCTCTGGTTTCTGCTTCAAGTTGGGGTTGCAGGTTAAGCCTTAGTTAACTTGATATAGGATTGAAGGGGCATTCATGTAGCAACCCCTTCAAGCCTGAAAGGTTCAATGTCTGTGGCAGATCATGCGGATTTCGGGTGTAAGGTTTGCAATAGTCCGACGTCACAACGGGCCTTCGACATGTGCACCCGTCGCCATCATTCGGGAACTTGCGGGCCTCGCCTGCACTAATCGCCTAGCTCGAAATCGTGAGAGTGGAAAGGCGCCGACAGACTTCGCGGTGGGACTTCACCTCAGTGAGAAGCACGGGGTGGTCTTCATGATCACCAAGGTGCGGGGCCTGAGTTTTCACATGTTTTTTTCCTGGAGGTCTAATTCTGCGTATCACATGCAAGCTTACACACCCTCGTGTCGTTACGTCACCATGTCGTGGTTGTTGCTGTTACATAACCCAACCATCGTTGCAGGCGTATGCAAAACATGCATGCCTGTACATATGCATACAAGTGCGTTTGAATGCGTATGTTCCTGAGTGTGTGTGTCTGTGTGTGTGTGTGTGCAAATGCTTGCCCGTACATGGATCGATAAAAGATATATGGATAAATACATTTATACGTAGAAAAATATACATACATGCATACAGACATATATGCGTGTGTGTACACACACACTCAATTATTCACGCATACACACATACACGTATATATATATATATGTATATGTATACATATATGCACACACATATCCAGTATATACACATTTACACATGTACATATACATATACATATACATATACAGATACAGATACAGATACAGATACAGATACATATACATATACATATACATATACATGTACATATACATATACTCGTGATATATGCGCAAACCATGCCGTAAGGGGTTTGGGGGAGGATAAAGTTCGATGAAGCCCTGTAGTGTGTCACTCTCGTATACTTCACAGCTCGTGTGTAAGCCACAAGAGTTTGCGCCACTCAGCTAGTCCGCGACAGGAGTTGCGCATTAAACTTTCGCGTCTCCAGGCTGAGGGTCCAAGGAGCATGCGGTTACCAAGACCCCAGGATATGTGGCGCTACAGCTTTGGGGCTTCAGGCTGGCTTGCCAAGGGCACAATCGCTTCAGGGCCAGAATCTTTATGTACGGGGATTCAGGATCAGGTGTTGACACCGGGGATGTCTTGGTTTCTTGGTTCCGGACAGGTGCCTCAAATTCGTGTCAGGATGCCGTGCCAGCAATAAATCTGAAATCCTGCTTAACCGTTTAGGCCTCTCATATGCTTCGTTCAGCGAAGCTGTGAACCGAGGCCGGCTTCCTCTTCATGTTTGACATCGGCACAGGAACCATGCTGGTGCGATCGAGGGTGTCACAGGCACCTCCAATTGCGGGCTGTGCAGGGGTCGAGTATTTGAGGTATTGATGGACCTGCCATGCACAGCAACTGTCGGCTTATGTGGTGGCAGGTTTTTTTGCGGGTATGCAGCAGGCCATCGAAATCGGGGTCCTAGATCCACGGGAGGGTGTGGCCCTTATCTCCTGACCCTCTTACCCGGGACGCTTGGTTTCGGGCTTTGCCGTTCCTCTCAAGCCTCCACCTGCACAGCCCCAGCAGCCAGCCTGAACGACCCTCAATCTCGAAAAGAACACACGAGGCTTCAACTTCCAGTATGTTGGGGGTTTACGGATAGAGCTGCTTGAGTGCAAGTTGGTTTGGTTGGACTTGAACATCCCTGAGACCGACAAAATGTAGCCGAACGCCTTGGGATCTGAGCTCAAACCGTGGATTCAAAACTGCCGATCTTAAGGAGACCGTCTTCATCACTGTTGGCTCTGCCCTCTCCGGTGGCATCATCTTCGTGAACAAGCGGGGAGCTGTAATGTCCGCCAAGGCCGATACCTTCAGAGCCGGGGTTGTGCTGGCCTCTAAACCGGCATCAGCATGAGCATCACGATCGTGGTGATGCTGATGATGATGGTCGCGATGTCAGAGGACACATTCTGAACCCAGAAATGGTTATTAATTATGATCGTGGTACTTAGTGAGCATCTTGCTCAGCATCGTCTTGTCATCGACATCGTCCTGGTCGTCACCCTCCTCCCCTCCAGATTCTCCTCGTCATCATCATCGCGATCGTAGGCTGCTACTTCATCATACTGCGCACAATCGTCACTCGTCATCGTAGTTATCGCCACTTCGATCTTCGTCATTACCACCATAGCAATCTTTGTGTCTTTTTCATCGTCGTCATCATTATGGCATTATGGCCATCAGAACCATCATCATTACCATCATCATCGAAATCATCGTCATCATCGGGTCATCATCGTCATCATCATCACCAGTACCAGTCTCGTTATCATCATCGAGGTCATCATCCCCGTACCCTCATGAATGTCGACATCCGCAGTCGCATCGCTGCGGCCAACACCCAACACCAGTGCAGCCCTGTTGTTTGCCGTATGCTTGCTGCTTTTAATTCCCTACCGCAGCTGTTTCCTTCATATTTGCTGTCACTCTAGCCGCGCACTAGTGTCGTCATGATCACCATCATGGCCATCACCATCATCACCATCATCACCATCATCACCATCATCACCATCATCACCATCATCACCATCATCACCATCATCACCATCATCACCAGCATCACCAGCATCACCAGCATCACCAGCATCACCATCATCACCATCATCAGCATGAGGATGATCACGGTCGTAATCCCCTCGTAGTAGCTGTCCCTCATTTCTTGCATCACCATCATCATTATCGTCATCGTCGGTCATGGTCAGCGTCAGCGTTGCTTCTGACTTTCGTGTTGGCCATCATCATGGTCAGCATCCTCATTTTACATAGCCATCGCCATCATGGTCCACGTTATCACCAGCATCACAGTTATCACCATCGTCGTCGTCATCACCATCATTATCATCGTCATCATCATCATCACCATCATCATCAATGCCATCACCTCATCATCGTCGCCAGCATCAACATGATCATCATGATCTTGATCATCATCATCATCACCATCATCATCAGGACCGCCACCACCACCACCACCACCACCAACACCACCACGAACACCAACACCACCACGAACACCGACGCCAACACCAACACCAGTGCACCCACCATCACAGACCACCCCCACCGCCGCCACGCCACGTGGCTGGAGCAGCAGGATCACCAGCATCACTGTCATCACTTTCATGGTCAGTGTCGTGGTTACCATCACCATCAAGCTGTCGTTACCCCCCTCACCATCAGTAACCAGCATCGCCACCGTCACCACCATCACAACCATCACCACCATCACCACCATCACCACCATCACCACCATCACCATCATCACCACCATCACCACCATCACCACCATCAGCACCATCACCACCGCCACCACCGACATGTTATTACCCGCAGAACCTCCATCACCAGCATCACCACCATCGGCATCATGACGATTATTATCTTCATCACAGTCATCATCACCTTCATAACAGTAACAGCACAAGGCAACAATCGTCAATACGTTTAAAGCTAACGGTCATCATGATTGTTACAGTGTTCTGTTTTTGCTTTTGTTGGTTGTTGCTCTTTACCATCCTCGTCTTCGTCATCTGTGACCATTCTCGCCAGCTTCGTCTTGATCTTCATTTTCGTTCTCGAGCTGTGGATCCTGATGGGCGGATCCGTACTGGAGAGATTTCCCGTCACTGCCGTTGTGGTTGTCAAAGGGCTTGCTGGGCCACATGAAGCATGCAACTGTTTTGTAGGGCCATTGCAGCTGGTTGCTAGATGCTCGAAGTGGACGGAGGGCTGTGGTTGGGGAGTTGGTCTTGAACAGGTCAACGAGGCTGCCATCGTGAACTATATTATGAACCAGCTGGTTCAGATTCCAAATCGTCAGGACGGATTCAACCGGTGCAGGGCAGAAGTTTGTAGGGTGTTCTGCGTTCTACGACATTGTTCATGTGCTTTGGGTTTGCTGGCATTTGCCTGCTTCAGGCCCAATTGCCGTAAGACCTATGTGCCTCTGCTAGGCCTTCCTTCAAGGCTGCACGATGCTACAGCACAGCTTTGGTTTTGGAAGCCCAGGCTAGGTTTCTGGGGACCTCCATTGCTTTGACGAAAACCACTTGCAACCTCAAACCGTTTGCAATGCGTTGACGAGTGGTGCTGCTCATGCCATGTCTCGCCCCGCCCAACCGTATTGACGAGGTGTAAACAGTAGAAATCGTGTAGTCTGGGTTGATTGCAGCTAAGTGTACCATAGCATGAGGGTGGTGGAAGTACAGCTGCTCGTCGTGCGACATGGTGTGTTTGCTACTGAAGCGGATTGGCATGGATGGACATTCACCTCTTAGCATGATTACATTCTCATTTGTTCAAAGCAGAGTATGTTCAAGTGCACCGTCAGAAAGCACGACTTCATGCAGTACAGCACCGCGCGAACTAGGTAAAGCTGAATACACCACTCATCGCCGGTCTCGCAACAGTTGCAGTCTGCCCTCAATAAGCAGTGCATGCGGGATTGGGAGGTGTTGGCTGTAGAGCCTGTGCTTATCCTTATCTGGACGGAACACCCCCAAACCCTTCAACAAGCGCGGCGCCAGCAGTGCACGCAAGACAAACTGGAGCCTTAACTAAGGGTGCCCAAACAGCGCGATCGAATGCCCCACCATATACCGGAACAACGAGGAGATTTCAGAGCAAGATGCAAAGGCTCGGGCTTTCACTTTCGGCTTAAGCGCTTCACATGGCCGCATCTGAAGCTGGGACTTGGATTCAACGCCCTGCACTGCTTTCGCAGTCCAAACTGGTGGAAAAATGTTCTTACACAAGACAAGCCGTTGAAATAAAGACAAGCAGCACCTAGCAGCACATCGGACTAGGTGCTTCTCATAGTGCTGTGGAATAGAGTAATGTGGAGTGATGTACTGCAGAGCCCGACATCAATCGACATCATGTGGCTACCGTATCGCACGAGAATAAAGTGCATGCTGCAGCTGTTGGCAGGACATTGCCTTCACATTGGCGCGGCGTTTTGGTTTGCCGGGCGCAGATGACACTCAGCTTAGAGGTGTTGGCTTCTGAGGCCTTTCGAGTTGTTCAGCGACGCAGAAACCCTTGATCCTCAGTATCGGAATTCCTCGAGTATATATACGAAGCCCCGACTCGCAATTTCAGCGAAGCTTGACAGCTTGGAGTGTTCTGATCGGAGAAGGCCAGGCGCAGGACCGGCAAGGCAACCTGCAAGCGATGCCCGGATGCCCGGATGCCCTGTCAAACTCATCCCAGGAGCTTTTCCAGCGCCAGTTCAATCAGCTTTTTGCTTCCGGTGACTACAAAGGCGTGGTTCGAGACTGTCTTTGATGTTCCTCGAGCTTGACTATGATATACTGATATACTGGAAGTTGCTACGTTTTACTGTGATAGACTATATTGCTGCCCCACCCTCAAATGTTCTTTCCCACGCACTCGCCATCCTCCTCCTCCTCCTCCTCCTCCTCCTCTCCTCCTCCTCCTCCTCCTCCTCCACCGAGCCCCTCCGCCACACTCTTACGGCCCGCTGACGCTGATGATGCGTGCCCCTCCAAAAACATGCACGACATCGGCCCGCACCTCATAGGCAGCTGCACGTGTTCCGCGTGCTCATGACGCTCGCCCGATGCTCTTTTGGGGTCTGCTTGCAGGTAGACTCGAAACCGGGCCTTCGGGCGAGGTTCCACATGGCCCAACGGAAAAATGAAGGTTTCGAGACGGGCGGGAGACATGGATTCAACAATTTACGTTCTCCTTCAGGAGGTGGGTGAGGTGGAGGCACAGAGGCCAGAAGGGGGGAGAGTCACAGAGTCGGGGGAAGGTTGTCGGGAACTACTTCTCTCCGTCAGGAACTGGAGTAAAGGGGCAGGGCCGAGGCGTGGGTGAGGGCGGCGTGTCCGCGGTGGCGGGAGTATTTGCTGGAGGTGAAGAAATCTACTTCAGATCGGGAAGCGGCAGGCAGGACCAGGAATGGGCGAGGAATGCAAAAGCGCGGCACGAAGCGAAACCGTAGCACGAAGAACGAAGGCCCCTCCAAGCGCCGCCCGGAGGGGTCGGCGGACACATACACATGCACCTATACATGTACATATACCATCATACACCTACAGACATACAACAACACATGGAATACTCTCTCATGTATGCATGTACAGTGTGCTGGAAAGCAAGGTTCCTCATGTAGTCCCGGTACATGTTGGGATCCAGAAAGCTCTCAAAAAAGTTATGAATGGTAAACTCCCTGCTTTGGCGGAACTCCCGCAAGAAAACGCTCTGTCGGGGTCCCAGGAGCCCTGGGTTAAGATTTACAGAAGTCGTAAACGCGGCCCCAGTCGAGTTTGGGAAGTCCATCCACTACAGACACAGGTGCGGCCCTCATCGCAGCCCAGTGCAAGAGTGGACTTCTGCGCACGCCGCAGACTATTCAGTGCCTCAGCTTCGGAACTCCGTCCTCAGGGTTGGATACCAGCGGGAAGATACTGGCCCCCGGCTGGAGCAAGCATGACTATATAGTTCCTCCACACCAACTGTGCTAGTTGCTTCCCCATGCAAAGTGCAGGAGCCCCGTGGCACCCGGGCTGTCAGGTCTTACGGTCATGGGAGCTGACGCAGTTCTTGTTGTGATGTCTTACTGTACAGGAGGAAAGACCAACCTGGTGAATCTAAGCCGCGGACGGCTCCATGTCATTCTGCCGAGCAAAGAAGTCTGAGGCAGTTCAAGAGCGTGCAGGCTCCGCCGGGGCAGTCGGGATGCCCAGGCTTCCCACGGCTGCAGGGACTACCTGCGAGGGTTCCCGCAGATTCAATCTTCGAAGTGAATAGATGGATGAAGACATCACAAACCAACATGAACAGACGCACAAACACACACACACACACACATATATATATATATGTACA